GAGTTCAGTATGGGAGGGTAGCATGGGAGAGTTCAGTATGGGAGGGTAGCATGGGAGTTCAGTATGGGAGGGTAGCTATGGGAGTTCAGTATGAGGGTAGCACGGGAGAGTTCAGTATGGGAGGGTAGCATGGGAGTTCAGTATGGGAGAGTAGCATGGGAGAGTTGAGTATGGGAGGGTAGCATGGGAGAGTTCAGTATGGGAGGGTAGCATGGGAGAGTTCAGTATGGTAGTTCAGTATGGGAAGGTAGCACGGGAGAGTTCAGTATGGGAGGGCAGCATGGGAGAGTTCAGTATGGGAGGGTAGCATGGGAGTTCAGTATGAGAGGGTAGCATGGGAGTGTTCAGTATGGGAGGGTAGCACGGGTGTTGAGTATTGGAGGATAGCATGGGAGTTGAGTATGAGAGGGTAGCATGGGAGAGTTCAGTATGGGAGGGTAGCATGGGAGTTCAGTATGAGAGGGTAGCATGAGAGAGTTCAGTATGGGAGGGTAGCATGGGAGTTCAGTATGGGAGGGTAGCATGGGAGTTGAGTATGAGAGGGTAGCATGGGAGTTCAGTATGAGAGGGTTGCATGGGAGTGTTCAGTATGGGAGAGTAGCATGGGAGTTCAGTATGAGAGGGTAGCATGGGAGAGTTCAGTATGGGAGGGTAGCACGGGTGTTGAGTATTGGAGGATAGCATGGGAGTTGAGTATGAGAGGGTAGCATGGGAGAGTTCAGTATGGGAGGGTAGCATGGGAGAGTTGTGTATGGGAGGGTAGCATTGGAGAGTTGAGTATGGGAGGGTACCATGGGAGAGTTGTGTATGAGGGTAGCATGGGAGTTGAGTATGGGAGGGTAGCATGGGAGAGTCGTGTATGAGAGGGTAGCATGGGAGAGTTGAGTATGGGAGGGCAGCATGGGAGAGTTGAGTACGGGAGGGTAGCATGGGGGAGCTGAATATGGGAGGGTAGCATGGGAGAGTTGATTATGGGAGGGCAGGATGGGAGAGTTGAGTATGGGAGTTGACTACGGGAGGGTAGCATGGGAGTTGAGTTTGAGGGCAGCATGGGAGAGTTCTGTATGAGAGGGCAGCATGGGAGAGTTGAGTATGGGAGGGTAGCATGGGAGAGTTGAGTATGAGAGGGTAGCATGGGAGAGTTGAGTATGGGAGGGTGCCATGGGAGAGTTCAGTATGAGAGGGTAGCATGGGAGTTCAGTATGAGAGGGTAGCATGGGAGAGTTCAGTATGGGAGGGTAGCATGCGAGAGTAGCATGGGAGTTGAGTATGAGAGGTTAGCATGGGAATTCAGTATGAGAGGGTAGCATGGGAGTGTTCAGGATGGGAGAGTAGTATGGGAGTTCAGTATGAGAGGGTAGCATGGAAGAGTTGAGTATGGGAGGGTAGCATGGGAGAGTTGAATATGGGAGGGTAGCATGGGAGAGTTGAGTATGGGAGGGTACCATGGGAGAGTTCAGTATGAGAGGGTAGCATGGGAGTTCAGTATGAGAGGGTAGCATGGGAGAGTTCAGTATGGGAGGGTAGCATGAGAGTTGAATATGGGAGGGTAGCATGGGAGTTAAATATAAGAGGGGAGCATGGGAGAGTGGAGTATGACAGGGGTACCATGGGAGTTGAGTATGGGAGTTAAATGTAAGAGGGGAGTATGGGAGAGTTGAGTATGGGAGGGTAGCATGGGAGAGTTGAGTATGGGAGGGTAGCATGGGAGAGTTGAGTATGGGAGGGTAGCATGGGAGTTCAGTATGGGAGGGTAGCATGGGAGAGTTCAGTATGGGAGGGTAGCATGGGAGTTCAGTATGGGAGGGTAGCATGGGAGAGTTGAGTATGGGAGGGTAGCATGGGAGAGTTGAGTATGGGAGGGTAGCATGGGAGTTCAGTATAGGAGGGTAGCATGGGAGTTCAGTATGGGAGGGTAGCATGGGAGTTCAGTATGGGAGGGTAGCATGGGAGTTCAGTATGGGAGGGTAGCATGGGAGTTCAGTATGGGAGGGTAGCATGGGAGTTCAGTATGGGAGGGTAGCATGGGAGTTCAGTATGGGAGGGTAGCATGGGAGTTCAGTATGGGAGGGTAGCATGGGAGTTCAGTATGGGAGGGTAGCATGGGAGTTCAGTATGGGAGGGTAGCATGGGAGTTCAGTATGGGAGGGTAGCATGGGAGTTCAGTATGGGAGGGTAGCATGGGAGTTCAGTATGGGAGGGTAGCATGGGAGTTCAGTATGGGAGGGTAGCATGGGAGTTCAGTATGGGAGGGTAGCATGGGAGTTCAGTATGGGAGGGTAGCATGGGAGTTCAGTATGGGAGGGTAGCATGGGAGTTCAGTATGGGAGGGTAGCATGGGAGTTCAGTATGGGAAGGTAGCATGGGAGTTCAGTATGGGAGGGTAGCGTATTAACAACAAGAACAGTCAGCAATTTAGCACTATAAAATCACTTGTATTACCAACGGGTTTTGTCTGACTAAACAGCAAGGTTAGGTTAGGTTAGGCTAGGCTAGGCTAGGCTAGGTTAGGTTAGGCTAGGCTAGGCTAGGCTAGGTTAGGTTAGGCTAGGCTAGGCTAGGTTAGGTTAGGTTAGGCTAGGCTAGGCTAGGTTAGGTTAGGTTAGGTTAGGCTAGGTTAGGTTAGGCTAGGCTAGGCTAGGCTAGGCTAGGTTAGGCTAGGCTAGGCTAGGTTAGGCTAGTCTAGGCTAGGTTAGGCTAGGCTAGGCTAGGCTAGGCTAGGCTAGTCTAGGTTAGGTTAGGCTAGGTTAGGCTAGGTTATGTTAGATTAGGTTACCTGGACCTGACGAGACCTCCAGACGACTGTCCAATATGTTGCCTGTCTGGTTCACCTCTGTACCATTCTTGTACGCCACAGGTCTCTCTCAGACGGTATCAATACCGTATCAATACCGTCTCTCCTCCGTTCCGTAGCATTCCGTCCCACGTACACATGGGACAATCTGGGGTCAACACATCTAGTGATATATGACCGAACCTCACCAACCCTACCTAACCTAACCTAACCTATCTTCATAGGTTAGGTTAGGTTAGGCAGCCGAAAAAGTTAGGTTAGGTAGTCGAAAAACAATTAATTCATGAAAACTTGGCTTATTAGGCAAATCGGGCCTGGCATAGTAGGCAGAGAAGTGCGTTCTGGCTACTAGGTACGACATATATATATATATATATATATATATATATATATATATATATATATATATATATATATATATATATATATATATATATATATATATATATATATATATATATATATATATATATATATATATATATATATATATCATAGTAATATACTCCTACAATATAGTTCTTACTGTAAGCATATCATTCATGTTCAGCATACTCTATGCTACTTTATACAGGTGAGGATTGTTCAGCATACTCCACGTTACTTTATACAGGTGAGGATTGTTCAGCATACTCCACGTTACTTTATACAGGTGAGGATTGTTCAGCATACTCCACGTTACTTTATACAGGTGAGGATTGTTCAGCATACTCCACGTTACTTTATACAGGTGAGGATTGTTCAACATACTCCACGTTACTTTATACAGGTGAGGATTGTTCAGCATACTCCACGTTACTTTATACAGGTGAGGATTGTTCAGCATACTCCATGTTACTTTATACAGGTGAGGATTGTTCAGCATACTCCATGTTACTTTATACAGGTGAGGATTGTTCAGCATACTCCATGTTACTTTATACAGGTGAGGATTGTTCAGCATACTCCACGTTACTTTATACAGGTGAGGATTGTTCAGCATACTCCACGTTACTTTATACAGGTGAGGATTGTTCAGCATACTCCACGTTACTTTATACAGGTGAGGATTGTTCATTACAGGTTGGAAATAAAAAATTACTTTGTGTATAATAACTTTATTATTTTCCAGTGAACATAATTTTGTAAAAAATCTAAACTAACATTTAATATATTTTGGGTCCCAACATCCTTTGTGGTGTTGCCAACGACAACACTTTGTTATGGTTTGTCCTGGTGTGTTGAGTGACTCATATTGTTGGTGTGTTGTGTGACTCATATTGCTGGTGTGTTGCTTGACTCACCGTCCTGGTGTGTTGAGTGACTCATATTGTTGGTGTGTTGTGTGACTCATATTGCTGGTGTGTTGTGTGACTCACATTGCTGGTGTGTTGTGTGACTCACATTGCTGGTGTGTTGTGTGACTCACATTGCTGGTGTGTTGTGTGACTCACATTGCTGGTGTGTTGTGTGACTCATATTGCTGGTGTGTTGTGTGACTCACATTGCTGGTGTGTTGTGTGACTCACATTGCTGGTGTGTTGAGTGACTCACATTGCTGGTGTGTTGAGTGACTCACATTGCTGGTGTGTTGAGTGACTCACATTGCTGGTGTGTTGTGTGACTCATATTGCTGGTGTGTTGTGTGACTCATATTGTTGGTGTGTTGTGTGACTCATATTGTTGGTGTGTTGTGTGACTCACATTGCTGGTGTGTTGTGTGACTCATATTGTTGGTGTGTTGTGTGACTCACATTGCTGGTGTGTTGTGTGACTCATATTGCTGGTGTGTTGTGTGACTCACATTGCTGGTGTGTTGTGTGACTCACATTGCTGGTGTGTTGTGTGACTCACATTGCTGGTGTGTTGAGTGACTCATATTGTTGGTGTGTTGTGTGACTCACATTGCTGGTGTGTTGTGTGACTCACATTGCTGGTGTGTTGTGTGACTCATATTGCTGGTGTGTTGTGTGACTCACATTGCTGGTGTGTTGAGTGACTCACATTGCTGGTGTGTTGTGTGACTCACATTGCTGGTGTGTTGTGTGACTCACATTGCTGGTGTGTTGTGTGACTCATATTGTTGGTGTGTTGAGTGACTCACATTGCTGGTGTGTTGTGTGACTCATATTGCTGGTGTGTTGTGTGACTCATATTGTTGGTGTGTTGTGTGACTCACATTGCTGGTGTGTTGTGTGACTCACATTGCTGGTGTGTTGTGTGACTCATATTGTTGGTGTGTTGAGTGACTCACATTGCTGGTGTGTTGTGTGACTCATATTGCTGGTGTGTTGTGTGACTCATATTGTTGGTGTGTTGTGTGACTCACATTGCTGGTGTGTTGCTTGACTCACCGTCCTGGTGTGTTGAGTGACTCACAGTCCTGGTGTGTTGCTTGACTCACAGTCCTGGTGTGTTGCTTGACTCACCGTCCTGGTGTGTTGCTTGACTCACAGTCCTGGTGTGTTGCTTGACTCACAGTCCTGGTGTGTTGCGTGGAAGTGTGGTAGGAGAAGTCAACTAATAATGTAGGAATGTGAGGGAGAAAACCCAGTGTTGAGCCAATTGGAACAAAAAGTTCCAAGTAGCACGGGCTATGGCGAGCCCGGTAGTGGACTTTTGTTATAGTTCTTCGTATTTTCTCATTGCTCCCTGTTTCTCTGAACGATCTCTGACTTCTGAGACATCAAGCACTTAGAGAAGACGTGGGGAGACTTCACAACCCCCCGGTTGTGAAGTTATAAAGTTAGGTTTCTTGTTATAAACAACTTAGCAGTGTTTCAGAGTTCTAAAAGTTTAATAAGAACCAACTGTGATCAGAATGGCAGGCGCGAGGAGGGGAGACTGAGGTTAATGGGCTGCGTCCTGGGAATGTGTGTGTGTGAAAATTAAGATTAAGGACCTGACCTGCCTAGTGGCTGTAAAGAAATGTAAGAATTCTTGTATACGAAAAAAATGAAAAATAATAGTCATATTAAAAAACTGAAAAGTTTTTATATAGTTATTCAAATGATAATAAAAATAACATAAAATCTTTGTGTTAATATAATATGAGACATAGAAGATGATAAGAGTGAAGGGGGTCACGTCTTTACATTGTAAGTACCCCTGTAATGATGAGGTGAGATATGGTGAAATAAACTGTGTATATACATTGATATTTATTATAATGAGGCGAGACTCATGATGAGTACAGTGGATTAACTGATCCATGGCACGTCACCCTCCTGCAGGCACCACCACCAGGGGCACCGGCGTGTCTCCTGCAGGGTCTGTGAGAGGCCTGAAGGAGTAGAGATGTGAGGGCAACTGAGGGTGACCACCACGAACCAGGAGCTTGTTAAGGGTAGCCATGCCCGCGTTAACGATCTTGATGGCTCCGGCGGGAAAGCGGTACCCCTGCAGGTGCTTCGGGTACTTGGGCCGTCGAAACCGTCCTTCCGGGTACCTGTCGAGAGGAAGCCCAATCGTGTCAGCGTATCCTGGGTGACATATTATGGTGGATATAGATACTGCAGAGATAACTGTATTCCAGCTGAGATACTTCTATACAGTACTCCATGGAGGATACCATCTTTAGTAGAACAAAATGAAAGGCTATCAATTAATTAAATTAAATTAATTAAATTTAATTTAATTAATTTAAATTAATTTAATTTAATTTAATTTAATTTAATTTATTTAATTAAATTAAATTAATTAAATTAAATAAATAAAGGCTATACCTCACAAGACAGTCACCATTACCCCACGAGACAAGTCACCATTACCTGACAAGACAGTCACCATTACCCCACAAGACAATCACCATTACCCCACAAGACAGTCACCATTACCCCACAAGACAGTCACCATTACCCCACAAGACAGTCACCATTACCCCACGAGACAGTCACCATTACCCCACAAGACAGTCACCATTACCCCACGAGACAGTCACCATTACCCCACGAGACAGTCACCATTACCCCACGAGACAGTCACCATTACCCCACAAGACAGTCACCATTACCCCACAAGACAGTCACCATTACCCCACAAGACAGTCACCATTACCTGACAAGACAGTCAATCCTGCCATAGTCGACAGGAAGGCCCAGGAATCTCATCAACCGCTCAGCCTCATACTCAAGGCGATGCTGGAACGGAACAGAAATATTAACGAGGGTAATTAACATTCAACGAGGATAATTAACATTGGCTTCCATTCACTGCTATAAATTAAATATTAATACAGTCATTATTGGCTCAGCTCCACCGTTGTGTTTAACTCTTAATACTCTACTGGTATGTAAAGATTTTTGTTTTTAATTGTCAGGGGAAAGCGGTAAGTCATTAGGATTATATAGCACTGGGAAGGGGGTCAGGATAAGGATTTGGGATGGGACGGAGGGAAAGGAATGGTGTCCAACCACTTGTGGACGGTCGGGGGATTGAATATATTGAATGCGACAGGACTGAGGTCCTGAGCAGTGTGATGGACTCCCTGTATACAATGGTCACTATAAATACTAAACACTGTTTACCAAATGGTCAAGTGTTGGTAAGTTTGGTGGAGGTGTGGAATGTGTTCCTGCGGGTCAGGTGTGGACTCACCCTCTTGGGCGTCCACGGTCGAGCGTCAGCTCTTGAACCCCGCCTGTGTGTACTCACCTAGTTGTGTTTGCGGGGATTGAGCTCTGGCTCTTTGGTCCCGCCTCTCAACCGTCAATCAACTGGTGTACAGGTTCCTGAGCCTATTGGGCTCTATCATATCTACATTTGAAACTGTGTATGGAGTCATCCTCCACCACATCACCCCCTAATGCATTCCATTTGTCAACCACTCTGACACTAAAAAAGTTCTTTCTAATATCTCTGTGGCTCATTTGGGCACTCAGTTTCCACCTGTGTCCCCTTGTGCGTGTTCCCCTTGTGTTAAATAGACTGTCTTTATCTACCCTATCAATTCCCTTCAGAATCTTGAATGTGGTGATCATGTCCCCCTAACTCTTCTGTCTTCCAGCGAAGTGAGGTTTAATTCCCGTAGTCTCTCCTCGTAGCTCATACCTCTCAGCTCGGGTACTAGTCTGGTGGCAAACCTTTGAACCTTTTCCAATTTAGTCTTATCCTTGACTAGATATGGACTCCATGCTGGAGCCGCATACTCCAGGATTGGTCTGACATATGTGGTATACAAACTTCTGAATGATTCCTTACACAAGTTTCTGAATGCCGTTCGTATGTAGGCCAGCCTGGCATATGCTGCTGATGTTATCCTCTTGATATGGGCTGCAGAAAACAGGTCTGGCGTGATATCATCCCCCAAGTCTTTTTCTTTCTCTGATTCTTGAAGTATTTCATCTCCCAGATGGTACCTTGTATCTGGCCTCCTGCTCCCTACACCTATCTTCATTACATTACATTTGCTTGGGTTAAACTCTAGCAACCACTTGTTTGACCATTCCTTCAGCTTGTCTAGGTTTTCTTGAAGCCTCAAGCAGTCCTCCTCTGTCTTAATCCTCTGTGCGTGTGCGTGTGTACTCACATAGTTGAGCTTGCGGGGGTTGAGCTCTAGCTCTTTGGTCCTGAGAGATGTGTGTGGTGCGTGTGCGCGCAGGGGAAGGGTTAGTTAGGTTGGTAACTCAAGTATGTTGACCAGACCACACACTAGAAGGTGAAGGGACGACGACGTTTCGGTCCGTCAAGGACCATTCTCAAGTCGATTGTCGACTTGAGAATGGTCCAGGACGGACCGAAACGTCGTCGTCCCTTCACCTTCTAGCGTGTGGTCTCGGCAACATACTTTAGCCTCGTTACTGTGACTCATCGCCTGCATTTGGTAACTCTAAGTCAAATAACGAGCAGCAGAGCAGAGAGGAGAGGAGGAGTAACGGAGCACACACCAGGGAACAGACGGAACACCTAGACCAACCAACCTGCAGATGCTCGTAGTGAACCACGTGTACAGATGTGTGTGGGAGGCTGAGCCACGCCGCGTTGAGATCTGCCCACAGCTGCCCGCGTTCCACCGTGAAGTTGGCCCAAGCTGCGGAGGGGGAGACATGTTCACTACATCATAGATTACCATCACTCCCTCATACTTTACCATCACTGCAAAATGTAAATACTAGTCAATATTCATGGCAACACATGTATATCTATGTATAACCATATCAACGTATGCTCATGTATAGAAATATACTTATATGTGACTCATTTTTGGTATATCCACACACCCACATATGTCCTTCTCTTGATATACCGACATCATACCTGGTTATAATATACCGTAGATAGTTTGGTAGATTCCCGCATCTACACCTACACATTTCTAGGAGTAGAGGGGTAGAAATGTGTAGAGGAGAGTAGAAATAGCCTACGCTATCCTTTTGATATCTTATATGTCTCAATAAACTTACTTAACTTGTTCACTCACATGATATCGTCACCCACACGTGTTAGTGACGAGATTGGCACTCAGCATTCTCTAAGTGCCTAATAGGGTCGTTTAGGGATTATAGAGTGATTACAGAGAGCATAATTCAGGGCTTATGGGAACTTAAGATCATAGAGATTTTTAGATTTATTTACAGCAAGACACTTGGGTAGTGATATCGAGGTTCGCAGAGGAACTAACGAGTTCAGAGGATGTTCGACTGAATTCAGAGTTCGCGACTGAAATCAGAGTTCGCGACTGAATTCAGAGTTCGCGACTGAAATCAGAGTTCGCGACTGAATTCAGAGTTCGCGACTGAATTCAGAGTTCGCGACTGAATTCAGAGTTCGCGACTGAATTCAGAGTTCGCGACTGAATTCAGAGTTCGCGACTGAATTCAGAGTTCGCGACTGAATTCAGAGTTCGCGACTGAATTCAGAGTTCGCGACTGAATTCAGAGTTCGCGACTGAATTCAGAGTTCGCGACTGAATTCAGAGTTCGCGACTGAATTCAGAGTTCGCGACTGAATTCAGAGTTTGCGACTGAATTCAGAGTTCGCGACTGAATTCAGAGTTCGCGACTGAACTTAAACTGATTCTCCGACTGAATGGTAGCTCCCCAACACTGAGATTGTTCGACAGTTAGCAAAATGCTGTCTCTAATGGCACTAGAGCAAGTGATATGGGGTCAAGCCGAAGGTCAATGCAGTACTGATACTTGTGATATCTCACATGTACATATATACACACACACATACATATATACATTTATATACACATGCAGACGATGAGTTACAATAACCTGGTTGAATATATGATGACCAAAGCACATATGGACCATTATGTAGTCTTGTGGTGACTATATACACACTATTTAGGTGCTTACATATACACACACACATATTGCGGCAGGACAGACATATGTAGCAGGAAAGGAAGGGAGCTATCATGGGAAAGCGTCAAGCCATTACGACTATATAGCACTGGGAAGGGGTCAGGATATGGATTTGGGATGGGACGGTGGGAAAGGAATGGTGCCCAACCATTTATGGACGGTCGGGGATTGAACGCTGTCCTGTATAATGAATATACGTTCATAATCTGTGCCCACACGTTCACATCCTGTACCCACACGTTCATACACTGTACCCACACGTTTATACTCTGTACCTAGACGTTCATACACTGTACCCACACGTTCATACACTGTACCCACACGTTCATACACTGTACCCACACGTTCATAACCTGTACCCACACGTTCACACACTGTACCCACACGTTCATAACCTGTACCCACACGTTCATAACCTGTACCCACACGTTCATACACTGTACCCACACGTTCATACACTGTACCCACACGTTCATACACTGTACCCACACGTTCATACACTGTACCCACACGTTCATAACCTGTACCCACACGTTCACACACTGTACCCACACGTTCATAACCTGTACCCACACGTTCATAACCTGTACCCACACGTTCATACACTGTACCCACACGTTCATACCCTGTACCCACACGTTCATATACTGTACCCACACGTTCATACCCTGTACCCACACGTTCACACACTGTACCCACACGTTCACACACTGTACCCACACGTTCATAACCTGTACCCACACGTTCACACACTGTACCCACACGTTCATATACTGTACCCACACGTTCATACCCTGTACCCACACGTTCACACACTGTACCCACACGTTCATATACTATACCCACACGTTCACACACTGTACCCACACGTTCACACACTGTACCCACACGTTCATACCCAGTACCCACACGTTCACACACTGTACCCACACGTTCACACACTGTACCCACACGTTCACAAACTGTACCCACACGTTCATATACTGTACCCACACGTTCATACCCTGTACCCACACGTTCACACACTGTACCCACACGTTCATACACTGTACCCACACGTTCACACACTGTACCCACACGTTCACACACTGTACCCACACGTTCATATACTGTACCCACACGTTCATACCCTGTACCCACACGTTCACACACTGTACCCACACGTTCACACACTGTACCCACACGTTCACACACTGTACCCACACGTTCATATACTGTACCCACACGTTCATACCCTGTACCCACACGTTCACACACTGTACCCACACGTTCATACACTGTACCCACACGTTCACACACTGTATCCACACGTTCACACACTGTACCCACACGTTCATACACTGTACCCACACGTTCACACACTGTACCCACACGTTCATACACTGTACCCACACGTTCACACACTGTATCCACGCCCCCCACACACTACCCACACACCCACACACATCTCCACACATCCCCACCCCCCTCCCCCACACACCCCCACACACCCCCCACACACCCCCACACACCCCCACACACCCCCCACGTCCCCCACACACCGCCTCGCCGACGCCTGGACACTCACTCGGGCCCCTGAAGAAGGCGGCGCTGCCGAAGCCTGTGTGGCCGGCGGCGTGATAGTGCCTGAGGGCCAGCAGGGACTCCCAGGGGCTCCGCAGTAACACCACCACCTTCCGCGGCGCCCGACCCACCAGGAACCGGAACTCTGTACCACTGTATACCCCGCCCTGGAGCTCTGTAGGGGAGGGAGAGTGGTGAGTGGTGAGTGGTGAGTGAGGGAGGGGGAGAGAGAGAGAGAGAGAGAGAGAGAGAGAGAGAGAGAGAGAGGGAGAGGGAGAGAGAGGGAGGGAAGGAGAAAGAGAGAGAGAGAGAGAGAGAGAGAGAGAGAGAGAGAGAGAGAGAGAGAGAGAGAGAGAGAGAGAGAGAGAGAGAGAGAGAGAGAGAGAGAGAGAGAGGGAGAGGGAGAGAGAGACAAAGACAGAGAGAGAGACACAGACAGACAGACACGAAGAGGAGGGGCGAGAGAGAAGAAGAGAGAGTAAGGAAGAGGAACAAAAAGAAGGAAAGAGAGAAGGAACAGGTGAGAGAGAAGGGGGGGGGGCCTGGTGGAGCGGGGAAGATAGGAGAAGATAGGTAGACCCGAGCATCGCCGGGTCTTATATAGTTTCCTATATATACATATAATAATGCCGGTTGTCGGGGACAGGAAGCCTATATATATATATATATATAGGCTCATGGAAGCTCGTCTAGGGGTCAACTACTGACCCTTCTCAGGATGCAACCCACAACAGTATCCTGTCTCCAGTTACTGTTAGGTGTATAGGGGCATCAGGTGAAAGGAAACGTGCCCAACTGTTTCAGTACTGACCGGGGGATTGAGCCCGGGTCACTCGGTTGTGAGTCCAGCACGTAGACTACTGTGCTATATGTATGTACGAAATTTTAATTAAAAGTGCCGAGATCTTGGCTTCCGTCGAGACGATTGTGCACGGACACTATACATGTGTGTGTATGTGTGGTGGCACTATACATGTGTGTGTATGTATGGTGCCACTATACATGTGTGTGTATGTGTGGTGTCACTATACATGTGTGTATATGTGTGGTGTCACTATACATGTGTGTGTATGTGTGTGGTGGCACTATACATGTGTGTATATGTGTGGTGTCACTATACATGTGTGTGTATGTGTGTAGTGGCACTATACATGTGTGTATATGTGTGGTGGCACTATACATGTGTGTATATGTGTGGTGGCACTATACATGTGTGTGTATGTGTGGTGGCACTATACATGTGTGTATATGTATGGTGACACTATACATGTGTGTATATGTGTGGTGGCACTATACATGTGTGTGGTGGCACTATACATGTGTGTGTATGTGTGGTGACACTATACATGTGTGTGTATGTGTGGTGGCACTATACATGTGTGTGTATATATGTATAGTGGCACTATACATGTGTGTCTATATGTGAGTGGTGGCACTATACATGTGTGTATATGTGTGTGGTGGCACTATACATGTGTGTATATGTGTGTGGTGGCAAAACTGCTTTATAAGTCCGAGGTCTTTAAATAGCCAACACCTTGGATATAGCACTTAAACACCACCTGTGTAATATTTAAATAGGAGAATTCCGGGTTCGAATCCCTGGCGGGACAGATATGATTGGGCACATTTCCTTTCACCTAATACCTCTGTTCACCTAGCAGTGGAGTAGGTACTCAGGAGTTAGTCAGGGGGGGGGGACCTCGATAAAAGCCAAGACGCGTATGAATACACTCTGGCTTCCTGTCCCCGACACGATGACTTAAACTATAGGAGACAAGATGGCCAACCGTACCCTCTGGCAGCATGGGGAAACTGTGGGTCTTCTGGAGCAGCGTTGTTCCTTGGCGGTAGCCGTCTCGCTCTCCCAGGAACCCTGCACGAAGAAGGAGTTACCAGAAGCGCTATAGTTATATAGTTATATAGTACTGGCTGTATAGCACATGGTATGGTTATATAGCACTGGCTATATAGCACATGGTATTGATTGTTCAATAAACCCTTGAACTATATGTTTAACACATCTCTAACCCTGTCCATGGAGGACAGAAGAAAATGTATATATGCTGGTTAGCATTGTAAATGTCTGGCCACGCCTGTGGTAGAAAATAATAATGAATAAAAAAAGCACATGGTATGGTTATATAGCACTGGCTATATAGCACATGGGATGGTTATATAGCACTTGGGGGGGATATGAGGACAAGGAACTGGGACATATGCTTGAAGGGAAAGAAAGGTATCAACCACTTGGGCTGTCGGAGGATCGAACTCCGGCCTGTAAGAAGCAAGGTCGACGCAATACTGACCAAGTGTAGTAAGAATAATATGAGGTTGTTATTAACTTAAATAAAAGATAAATGCAAAAAGACTGATTTTTTAAAGTTATAATATTGGTTAAATTTTGAGATCTATAATAGAACGAGACCATACAATAACGACCTTGGCATCAAGGCCACACTTTCAGGTAAATCACAGGCATAATGTTACTGAAGCCAACATACAAGCCGTAAGTATGCTTGTATACACTGTATGTGTAAGCAACATACACTAACCTAACACACAGAAAGCACAATTGCGTGATGCATCAAATGAACAAATCCCCAAGGGTTCGAATCCTCGTCACGGCCCTTGTGGATTTGTACACTACCTAAGATAAAATTGAGTAACACTTTTGGGGGCCAGCCAGAGGCTTAGGGCCCGCCCGGAGAGTATAATTCAACTTTTTAACTCTCCAAGATTACATCTGAAGCCTCGTGGCTCACAAAATTAAGGCTCAGAGGCTAATATATTCCCATCATCTTAGCCCCTATGCACGGACACGTGGAAATATATCAGCCCGGACACGGGGAAATATATCAGCCCGGACACGGGGAAATATATCAGCCTGGACACGGGGAAATATATCAGCCCGGACACGGGGAAATATATCAGCCCGGACACGTGGAAATATATCAGCCCGGACACGGGGAAATATATCAGCCCGGACACGGGGAAATATATCAGCCCGGACACGGGGAAATATATCAGCCCGGACACGGGGAAATATATCAGCCCGGACACGGGGAAATATATCAGCCCGGACACGGGGAAATATATCAGCCCGGACACGGGGAAATATATCAGCCCGGACACGGGGAAATATATCAGCCCGGACACGTGGAAATATATCAGCCCGGACACGGGGAAATATTGGACTTATTAAAAAAAATATATTTCTGGCCTCCTGGTGAAGGGTGAAGGCATTTATATATAGCGTTGTGGTTCGAACAAAATTCGTCAGTGAAGCACTTGTTCCGGAAGTGTTCGAAAGTCAACAGTTGTGAGTCGTGTGTAAACCGTTTTTCATTCATTAACGGGGGGGGGTTGGCGAGTGCATGGACTCACTTTTGGGTCTTTGTTAGGAGAACGGGCTGCTTTGTTAGGAGGACGGGCTGCTTTGTTAGGAGGACGGTCTGCTTTGTTTGGAGGACGGGCTGCTTTGTTTGGAGGACGGGCTGATTTATAGAATTGTGGTTCGAACAGAGGACGTGAGCTGAAGCATTTGTTTCGGAAGGGTTCGGACGACATCAGTTGTGAATCGTGTGTAAACCTCTTTTCATTGATAAACAAGGGGTTTGGCGGCTGGATTAACGAGCTTGAATCTTTGTATGAGAGGACGGGCTGCTCTTTAACAGACACAACTGCACGACTAAGGTAAACCGACCGAAGCGTGTGACTGAGGTTTGAGCCTAGTGATTCAAGAGGCTTCGAGACAGATGAACCCGCCGGTGCTGAAGCCGGAGCTGGACAGTATGCAAGTAAGTGACGTTGTAGGATGACGCGACGGGAACACCTCTCAACCTCTTTACAAATCCATTGTGTTAAAGGATACGCCGTAGCCTACTCTGCTCGAACTTTTGAAATCGAGTTTAGCAGTTCAAGCACCTAAAAAGGTAAATAACACTAGTTCCTATAATCCAGCGGAAACGAGCTGCATTGGCGGCCATTCTATCCACGGGCCGCCGCCAAATCAACACATTGTAACAACATTTTTATTCCTGGGTGACAAGTGTTATTTACTAGAGTTGCGTGGTGACCCCCGGGCGCGTCGGACGTTCCTGAGGTCTCTCTGCTCCTGGCTAGTGTTTACGTTGGGTGATTGCTGTAATGTAACGTCAGTGTAACCTATTCAATACAACCCAGCCTTGTGTGCCCTACTCTAGTGTTACCTAAAAAAAAAGTGTTTCCTAGTTAATGTAACATAATTTAACCAAGTTAATAAAGTATCTGAAGTTTAACTAAATCAAACTTGGCATGATTCAATCTTGCTTAATGGAATCTAAGACCATATAATAAAAAGAACACCGCGGCTTTTGTGTGCATAACCTGGTCATATATCGCTGCCTTAGTCTTGTTCTCTTAATGTTTTGTTGTGAATGAGTTAAGATAAATGGAGAAAAAGAGTCCCAGAAGTTCCATCTGTACCGAATGTGTTTGCAGATTGAAATTTGCTTTTAGTATTATTTTAAAGGCGGTAATATAAGGCGTAACTGGTTTCGGTTTGGTGTGACCTCGGGGCCCATGCCGGTAAACTGTTCAGCTGGCATAAAAGTTTGACAATATCTGGTACAGTCCACCCGATATTAGGATCCGGGATAATATTAGGTCCTCCAGAATGGGCAACCAGTATGAACCATATTGACAATGGTGCGGTCCACCGGTTCATACTGAAAGTTCAGCGACTTCAAGTTCTCTGGGTGGGCCAGTAGAAACACCTCTGCCTTTACTAGAGTGAAATTTGCATTTGAATTTTGGGATGGAAGGCCTGGGACTATCTGGACAATTGCTGCAATGTTTAATGCCTGTAATACCTATTGACTTGTAAATAGATTTATAATTATATGTACGATATTTTGTTAACACTAATGTTATTGGGAATAATAATAATAGGTGCCAAAACATTATTTATTATTTTGATTTTGTATCATGTGTGTTCAGAACTAAGGTTTACTTGCTGGGTGGTCAGTAAACTATACAGCATTGATAACCATAAGCCAAATTCCAACCCAAAATTATATACTGTTTACTGTTTGGATAATACTGTAAGTAGGAAAGACATTGTTAGTAGCCATGTCTGAATTATGCTTCTAACGTCCAACACAGTCTGTAAATTCACCCAAATACTCTTGATCAAGCCACTTGACCTACTTCTATGGTCAAATAATGTGTAATAATAATAATAATGACTTGTACTTCAATATTTTCTAATGTATATTTTCCTTGCGTTCAGTAGCAGCTATACTTGTGTCGCAGAGAGGTACGGCGAGCGCTGTACCTGCTCCCTGGATATATTGGTAACTGTCCGAATAAAACTTTCCGGGGAAAGTCGTTCACAGTTCAGATAGATTTTCCAGCCTCTATTTGATCACTGAATTATTGTAGCCGTAATGCGCGCAACCAGTCCATTTGTGAGTGGTTGAATATTCATAATGTCCCTGCACGGGGATTATACACTTCGGTAAAACTAGGACATGATGGCCGGGTTACGACCGGTCTAGATCATTACCAGAGATGACTGGATTAGTCCAGCTCTCATGTACGATTTTAGTCCAGGTTTTCTGGGGAAAATTTACAATTATTATTATTTTATTAATATTATTATTGAGAATCAATTGGAGCTATGCAGAGGATTCTAACCTGCATCATGGGTACTCCCAAACACACGCCTTAAACCACTGACGCATGATACTCTATAAGTAATGTACCCTGGGATTCTCACGAATCCACAACTGCAAGCTCTTTTTAGGGGATATAAGTTAGTATTTATTTGGTAATAAATTTTTATATGGTGGAATAGGCTACCAGTTAGCATTGCTGAGATAACAAAAGTTTAACAGGTATCAAAATGCATGTCCTGGGGAGTTTATTGAGCAGCGCCACTCATCCTGTGAGTGAACACACCGCCATAGTGACAGTATTGGGCAGCGCCACTCATCCTGTGAGTGGACCGCCATAGTGACAGTATTGGGCAGCGCCACTCATCCTGTGAGTGAACACACCGCCATAGTGACAGTATTGGGCAGCGCCACTCATCCTGTGAGTGAACACACCGCCATAGTGACAGTATTGGGCAGCGCCACTCATCCTGTGAGTGAACACACCGCCATAGTGACAGTATTGGGCAGCGTCACTCATCCTGTGAGTGAACACACCGCCATAGTGACAGTATTGGGCAGCGCCACTCATCCTGTGAGTGGACACACCGCCATAGTGACAGTATTGGGCAGCGTCACTCATCCTGTGAGTGAACACACCGCCATAGTGACAGTATTGGGCAGCGTCACTCATCCTGTGAGTGAACACACCGCCATAGTGACAGTATTGGGCAGCGCCACTCATCCTGTGAGTGAACACACCGCCATAGTGACAGTATTGGGCAGCGCCACTCATCCTGTGAGTGAACACACCGCCATAGTGACAGTATTGGGCAGCGCCACTCATCCTGTGAGTGAACACACCGCCATAGTGACAGTATTGGGCAGCGCCACTCATCCTGTGAGTGAACACACCGCCATAGTGACAGTATTGGGCAGCGCCACTCATCCTGTGAGTGGACACACCGCCATAGTGACAGTATTGGGCAGCGCCACTCATCCTGTGAGTGGACACACCGCCATAGTGACAGTATTGGGCAGCGCCACTCATCCTGTGAGTGGACACACCGCCATAGTGACAGTATTGGGCAGCGCCACTCATCCTGTGAGTGAACACACCGCCATAGTGACAGTATTGGGCAGCGCCACTCATCCTGTGAGTGAACACACCGCCATAGTGACAGTATTGGGCAGCGCCACTCATCCTGTGAGTGAACACACCGCCATAGTGACAGTATTGGGCAGCGCCACTCATCCTGTGAGTGAACACACCGCCATAGTGACAGTATTGGGCAGCGCCACTCATCCTGTGAGTGAACACACCGCCATAGTGACAGTATTGGGCAGCGCCACTCATCCTGTGAGTGAACACACCGCCATAGTGACAGTATTGGGCAGCGCCACTCATCCTGTGAGTGAACACACCGCCATAGTGACAGTATTGGGCAGCGCCACTCATCCTGTGAGTGAACACACCGCCATAGTGACAGTATTGGTCAGCGCCACTCATCCTGTGAGTGAACACACCGCCATAGTGACAGTATTGGGCAGCGCCACTCATCCTGTGAGTGGACACACCGCCATAGTGACAGTATTGGTCAGCGCCACTCATCCTGTGAGTGGACACACCGCCATGGTGACAGTATTGGGCAGCGCCACTCATCCTGTGAGTGGACACACCGCCATAGTGACAGTATTGGTCAGCGCCACTCATCCTGTGAGTGGACACACCGCCATAGTGACAGTATTGGGCAGCGCCACTCATCCTGTGAGTGGACACACCGCCATAGTGACAGTATTGGTCAGCGCCACTCATCCTGTGAGTGAACACACCGCCATAGTGACAGTATTGGGCAGCGCCACTCATCCTGTGAGTGGACACACCGCCATAGTGACAGTATTGGTCAGCGCCACTCATCCTGTGAGTGGACACACCGCCATAGTGACAGTATTGGGCAGCGCCACTCATCCTGTGAGTGAACACACCGCCATAGTGACAGTATTGGGCAGCGCCACTCATCCTGTGAGTGAACACACCGCCATAGTGACAGTATTGGGCAGCGCCACTCATCCTGTGAGTGAACACACCGCCATAGTGACAGTATTGGTCAGCGCCACTCATCCTGTGAGTGGACACACCGCCATAGTGACAGTATTGGGCAGCGCCACTCATCCTGTGAGTGAACACACCGCCATAGTGACAGTATTGGGCAGCGCCACTCATCCTGTGAGTGGACACACCGCCATAGTGACAGTATTGGTCAGCGCCACTCATCCTGTGAGTGGACACACCGCCATAGTGACAGTATTGGGCAGCGCCACTCATCCTGTGAGTGAACACACCGCCATAGTGACAGTATTGGGCAGCGCCACTCATCCTGTGAGTGGACACACCGCCATAGTGACAGTATTGGGCAGCGCCACTCATCCTGTGAGTGGACACACCGCCATAGTGACAGTATTGGGCAGCGCCACTCATCCTGTGAGTGGACACACCGCCATAGTGACAGTATTGGGCAGCGCCACTCATCCTGTGAGTGAACACACCGCCATAGTGACAGTATTGGGCAGCGCCACTCATCCTGTGAGTGAACACACCGCCATAGTGACAGTATTGGGCAGCGCCACTCATCCTGTGAGTGAACACACCGCCATAGTGACAGTATTGGTCAGCGCCACTCATCCTGTGAGTGGACACACCGCCATAGTGACAGTATTGGGCAGCGCCACTCATCCTGTGAGTGGACACACCGCCCACTATATTGCAACCGATGAGGCTGCAAGCACTGGTGGCCAAGAAAAAGTGATACAAACCCCGCAAGATAACGTAAGTTTGGGATTTGGTAAATGTTAAACGTCTTATCTGATAAACTGTTCACCTGAGACAGTTAGCCAAGTCCCAGCTGCGTGTGGGAACAAGTGACAGGATAAACACCCCCAGAGAGTTTTCTTTCTATCAGGGGTTGTTGTACATGTTGCTATGGCGGTGTGTCCACTCACAGGATGAGTGGCGCTGCCCAATACTGTCACTATGGCGGTGTGTCCACTCACAGGATGAGTGGCGCTGCCCAATACTGTCACTATGGCGGTGTGTCCACTCACAGGATGAGTGGCGCTGTCCAATACTGTCACTATGGCGGTGTGTCCACTCACAGGATGAGTGGCGCTGCCCAATACTGTCACTATGGCGGTGTGTCCACTCACAGGATGAGTGGCGCTGCCCAATACTGTCACTATGGCGGTGTGTCCACTCACAGGATGAGTGGCGCTGCCCAATACTGTCACTATGGCGGTGTGTCCACTCACAGGATGAGTGGCGCTGCCCAATACTGTCACTATGGCGGTGTGTCCACTCACAGGATGAGTGGCGCTGTCCAATACTGTCACTATGGCGGTGTGTCCACTAACAGGATGAGTGGCGCTGCCCAATACTGTCACTATGGCGGTGTGTCCACTCACAGGATGAGTGGCGCTACTTAATACTGTCACTATGGCGGTGTGTCCAGTCACAGGATGAGTGGCGCTGCCCAATACTGTCACTATGGCGGTGTGTCCACTAACAGGATGAGTGACGCTGCCCAATACTATCACTATGGCGGTGTGTCCACTAACAGGATGAGTGGCGCTGCTTAATACTGTCACTATGGCGGTGTGTCCAGTCACAGGATGAGTGGCGCTGCCCAATACTGTCACTATGGCGGTGTGTCCACTCACAGGATGAGTGGCACTGCCCAATACTGTCACTACGGCGGTGTGTTCACTCACAGGATGAGTGGCGCTGCCCAATACTGTCACTATGGCGGTGTGTCCACTCACAGGATGAGTGACGCTGCTCAATACTGTCACTATGGCGGTGTGTTCACTCACAGGATGAGTGACGCTGCCCAATACTGTCACTATGGCGGTGTGTCCACTCACAGGATGAGTGGCGCTGCCATTGTAACCCGTCCTCTTAAAAATAACGTCACTTTTGGCTCGTATGCTCACTATGGCCAAATTTGGACGTAATTTGAAATGAAATCAACTCACAAAAGTGACGTACTGTCCCGTTTTCTGTTTGTGTCGTCCGGCTTACTCGGTAAGGTTAGAAGAGGAAACTTTCAATTAACATTTTTCATAACTTTTGAAACTTTATGAAAATTTCCTGCCCACCTAACCTTTCAGAGGACCCTTAACTTACTGTTGTTGAAAAAAAACAAATCCCAAATATATTTTCATTTTCAAATTACATCCACTTTCGGCCATACGGGTAAACGGCCAAAAGCGACGTTATTTTTAAGGCATGGAGTGAAGTGTTTACAGCAACATTCACTCTGCATGCGTTGAGGCAATGTGGTTCTTAATACAGGCTTTTTAATTTCCGTTTTGAAAGACTTTATTCATAATTACAGTGTACGCTGCTCCAGCCCTGTCATTAGTAGGGTTAGATGAACCATAAGTGAAGGTTTTTATCTAATTAATTTCTGACTATTAATTTCCTCGAGATAATTATGACGCATTTCTTGTGGTATCATGTTTGGAGTTTTTTACGTTGTCATTTCTCATTATAGTCTTACATGGTTCTCTCAAGGAGGTCGAGGTCTTTGAGGTAGCAGACTGATCGGTGATGCACTTTTTTGTTTTTCCTGTTTCCTACTGTATCACAGAAATGATTTTTATTCTTGGCAATATTGTGATGAGGGTCTCTGGCTATCTTAATTGCAAGTTTAATATTCAGTTTAATAAGTCTGCTTTCAAGACTGAGGGGAGACGGCTCATCTTGTAGATTAGATTGGCAGTTTCTGGGACTCTAAGAATGACTGCCATGGCTTCATTTTGTATGCTTTCAAGTATTGTTTATGTCCCTTGGGGAGTACGTGTATCAGAGTGGCCCAGTGCTGCGTAGTCTATGACGGAGCGCACATTGGCTGCGCACATATTTTAAATACAACAATAGATGCCTCATGCCTATTCCAGGACATGAGTTTCAGGGTCCTGAGATGACTTTTACATGTCCAGAGGAGTTGATCAAGCTCCTCGTTTCCTTGTTAGAAGTGACAGTAGTTCCAAGGTACCCCGATAGTGATCAAGCCACTCGTGTTGCACAATTTAGTTATAGGTCTTCCTTTTCCAGTGTGACGACGGAAACGCCAGTTTCTCAAACTTTGCTGAAATTTGTTTAAGTCGTGAACACTAGAGACACCAAACCCGAAACACACAATCTCGCGCAGATAAAAAAAATAATAATAAGCTTCTGCCACGGCCATAGGTCTAGTTCTTTAACTTGGATCTTTCGGAAGAGTCATACACCACTGATGATTTGAAACTGCGGCTTGAGTTACTACAGGCAGTAGGCGTGGTGGAAGTACAGGCTACAGGAACATTGAGAACGCCTGGGTAGCCTCGCATATTAATGGAGAACGCGTAACAAAAACAAGAAATTTTTAATTAATCTCAAGTCCTGGAACATCTGTCATGTCAGTAGATATGTGGGTGACACTGAGGAGATGCTGGACTGTTACCATGACATGACAGCAGTTTTGTAATGACAGTCATACATAACCCCCCCCCCCCATGTTGTAAACTCGAGAAGCCTCATCGCAATCGCCCTTATATTGTAAACTCGAGAAGCCTCATAGCAATCGCCCTTATATTGTAAACTCGAGAAGCCTCAACGCAATCACCCTTATATTGTAAACCCAGAACGCCTCAACTTAGGTAACTTTTGATAGAGGATTGAAGGTCAAGATTTCTTTCGCCTTATGTGATTATCGTGGAGCAAGATAAGCGTTACAAGCGTTGGATATTGTGTCATGATGTGTCCGGCAGACTTTGGAAATGTTTTGACAGCTTCGAGACAAATATATGTTTGACAAATTTCTCTCCCTGTCCATGGAGGACAGAAGAAAATGTATATATGGTGGTTAGCATTGTTAATGTGTGGCCACATCTGTGGTAGAAAATAATAACAGTAAAAAAAAAAGTGGAGGACCAGGCACGGGGAGAGAGGAGAGCCAGGCACGGTGCCCCGGGGGAGAGGGCTGCTAGGCACAGTGCCCCGGGGGAGAGGAGGACCAGGCACAGTGCCTCGGGGGAGGAGAGCCACTAACCTCTGAGTGCCAGGATCTCATCATGATAGACGGAGCCGGTGAAGACGCCAGTGAGAGTCTCTGCCAGGTACCGGAGCCAGGTGTTGCCGGCCCCGGGGAAGGACGCCAGGGGTATGAGCGGCGTCCGGCCTCCCACCAGGAACCTGCCATACGTCATACATTACTACTAAAATATACGTAAATATACACAAGACTGTCCTAGGCAATACAGTACAATCCAAACGGTACTTGGAAATATAGTCCCATCTATAAACACTTAGTAATATAAAAATCTGTTCTAAGTTAGATTAATCTTCTTATAGAGAAGTCGAATCAACGGTTCTCCTTTTTTTCAGGTAAATTATAATGTAATATCCAGGCTGTAGAGGTGTGTTGTGATGTTGTGTTGAGGTGTGTGGTTGTGGTTTAGTTTTATGGTGCACACAGTGTGATGTTGTAATTGGATGTTTGGTTATGCAGTGTGAAGGTATAAGAGTTATGTTGTAATATGAGGTTGTATTATAGCTTTGTAACTCGAGTGGTGAATGTAATTTGCTTGTGTAAGCTGGGATGTTGCTGTACATGGGAAGGGGATTGTGTTATTGGTTGGGTCATGGTATAGTTTGATGGTTTAGAATGCTGGTGATAGTTGAGTAAGTGTTTTTTGGGGGGGAATGTGTTGTACTGATGGGAGTGCAACCCGTCCTCTTAAAAATAACGTCGCTTTTCGCTCGTATGCGCGCTATGGCCAAAAGTGGACGTAATTTGAAATGAAATCGACTCACAAAAGTGACGTACTGTCCCGTTTTCTGTTTGAATCGTCCGGCCTACTCAGAAAGGTTAGGAGAGGAAACTTTCAATTCAATGTGATGCGTCCTGGAGTATCACAGTTGTGTGTGAGGATGATTTTGGTGTGTTGTAGGGTGGTGTTGAGTTATTGTTCTGTGAGGGTGTAGGACTAGTCATGTGTTGTGGTACTTGTGGCATACTGGTTTTGGGCCCTAAGCGCTTAGTCTTGCCAGTCTGGGGCGAGTCACTTCCTGAGCAAACAGCCGCTCCGAGCCTAGCCTAGCCTAGGCCTGGAGCCTAGCCGCTCTGAGGCCTGACCTGGGCCTGTGTCAGTAGAAGCGGGTCCAGTGCGTGTGCTTATGACGTCACTATGGTTTCCTTTTATGTTGATAGATACATTTTTGTTTTTTGTTAAACATTACTGCACTGTTTTCTGTTACCCCATGCTAGCTGATCTTTAATGGATAATTGGGAACTGTTTTCCACACACACACAATTACACACACACACACACACATATATATATATATATATATATATATATATATATATATATATATATATATATATATAATAAAAATTTGTTCAAAATCACTATCTCCGAAAGTTCTTCACCGGTTGCTTTGAAATTTTCACACAACGTTCCATTCACATCCAAGCGTGTTTTTATATACATACTATATAGATGTTACGTCTGTGACGGGGAAAAACATGTTTTTTTTTTAATTGTGTTTTTTTTATGTGAGGGAAATCTTTGAAACCTCGTTACCGATTGCTTCGAAATTTTGATACAACGTTGCATTCGAATAGGCGCGTGTTTTTATATACCTACTATATACCTGCCTCACCTGTGACAGGAAAAATCATGCTTTTTTTTTAACAACGCCATCTGTTGAACGTAAGAGCAATACACGTTGTAATATCTGAAATTTCTTCACCGATTGCTTTGTAATTTTGACACAATCTTCCATTCGAATACGCGCATTTTTATATACCTACTATATAGATGGCCCACATGTGACAGGTAAAAACATGATTTTTTTAAAAACAGCGCCATCTGTTTCACGTAATATCAACACATGTTATCCTAAATATGTTACGATTCCATTTCAGTGTGTCTGATTGCATTGATAAACTGAATTTTCATAGATTTCGATTTATTTTCATTTTGATTTAATTATTTTGTGTGACATTGTGCTAGAATTGAGCTGTGTTATTTACCATATCGTTCATTTCGTAAGTATAAGTATAGATGCCACACCTGTGACAGGTAAAAACTTTTTTTTTTTTTTAAGAAACGGCGCCATCTGTTGCACATAAGAGCAACACACGCTATCCTAAATATGTTACGGTTCCATTTCAATGTTTCCGATTGCATTGACAAATTTAATTTTCATAAATCTCAATTTATTTTCCTTTTAATTATTTTGTGTGACATTGCGTTGGAATTGAGCCAGTTGCATAGTGCCCCTGGCTGTCTGGGTTCGAGTCACTTCAGGGATGTGGAGTTTTCAGTTATACACACACACACACACACACACACACACACACACACACACACACACATATATATATATATATATATATATATATATATATATATATATATATATATATATATATATATATATATATAATATAATATAAATTTCAAGTTTAAGTAATTTGCTTTCGTTTCTGATTTCAGCGCCTGGGTGGAGCCAGGTCTGTGAGTATTTTTAAAATTTGTATATGTTGTATAATTTTGTTGAAGTGATTTTGTAAACAACGAACATTAATATGTATTTTTACAATCTGTTTCCCATATAATTTTGAGCTAGGCAGTGTTTATGTACAGCGCCTCACAAGGCCATCGGCGAGATTAAAATTGTTCTTGGGTTTGAATAATATTTCCTTTCTATACATGATTTTGAGTTACGAATATACCATGTTCAGGTTAGACTAGAAAGTTGAGTAGTTTTAGTCTAGGCCTAGTGGAGAGGTAGGCTTAGGCTAAGATAGCCTACGTGACATTGATCGAGGAAGTACAAGGTAGACTATAAGTAGGCTTTAAATTAATGAATATAATTAAAAGCAAAGGGCGTAAAATGGGTTAATGGGACCATGGCTTAAGCCTATTTGATACCGCAAGAGACGAGAATGAGTTACAGCCACGTGGAGAGTAGGCTGTAACGCTGCGTACCATTTGCAAACTGTTACAAATTATAGATTAGTTTTATTATCTTTATTTAATTTCCAACACTTATATAGACATACGATACAGCTTTTACAAGCGTAATAGTTATCCATTCTGGCGGACAGCTTTTGGCAGTGCCTAATTTACTGGGATTTACAAATATTATGAGCAATGGTACTTCATAGGATACAAATGTTTTGGATATTTGGATGCAGGATCATTGGGAGCTGCGCTATGTGAATACAGGCCCACTTGGGGCTGCGCTATGTGGCTACAGATCCGCTGGGGGCTGCGCTATGTGGCTACAGATCCGCTGGGGGCTGCGCCATGTGGCTACAGATCCGCTGGGGCCTGCGCTATGTGGCTACAGATCCGCTGGGGGCTGCGCTATGTGGATACAGGCCCACTGGGGGCTGCGCCATGTGGCTACAGATCCGCTGGGGCCTGCGCTATGTGGCTACAGATCCGCTGGGGGCTGCGCTATGTGGATACAGGCCCACTGGGGGCTGCGCTATGTGGATACAGGCCCACTGGGGGCTGCGATATGTGGCTACAGATCCGCTGGGGGCTGCGCAATTTAGGTACAGGTCCATTGGACTGACCGGTAATTGTGTTATCGGATCCCTTTACCAACTAGCCCTTAAATTATTCGTGCTATCTCTTCCTATAACAAAACCTAATGCTATCTTGCCTTTTTACAAAACATTGTCCTGAAATTAAAAAGAAAAAACGGAGCGGCCATGTCTGAAAGGGACAATGAGTACCCATGAATTTATATATGACGTCAATTCTGTGAGGGGGGGGGGGAACAACACATTTACACTGTAAGCCAGTATGAGTTCATATAGCACTTGGGAGATGAGGACGGGGTGAAGAAACAGTGCACAACCACTTCCACCATCGGGGGATTGAACGCCGACCTGCAAGAAGTGAGGCTGTCGCTTTTTTTTGTGCCGGCCAGAGTAGATACGTGTTTCGAAAGGGGCGATGTGTACCCTGGGAACATAAAATATTGCGTCAGTTTTAATTATTAAATTGACCTGTAGTCGAATTATCAAATATTCATTGTTAATTAAGGCTCAGTTAATGTTTGATTATCAGCCTGCTTGTTCTGTTCTTGTTTTATTGTGTTTGTACAAGCGTTCGAGAGCTCTTGATGTTATCTTCTAGCTCTGCGACTCCTGGCCGTCGGGAGAGTGCTGGTGCAGCCTAGTGTGGGTCCTCCCTCTACGGGGCTTACACACCGTGGGGTTCATACCTCCAGCAGAGGGAGGAGAGGAGCAGTAGAGGCCTCGTGTTAGCAGAGACGGGTGGGGGAGGGGGGGATGGTTGGAAACAAACAAGAGGCCTCGTGTTGACACAATGCAACAATGGGTGGAAGCCAGGTAGGTTGAGGGCCGTGGCTGGCTTCATCGTTTGATCTCTTATTTTTGTTTGTTTGCAACAAATCTCACGCTGTATAATTTGCTTAAATATATTTCGGAGTCCACAGGCGAGGGTTTTTTCTTCAGGACCTGATATATTTCGTTGAATTTTATATCTGATATATTGAGGTAATTTAATTAGCTATGAATATATTCTGTGAGCGAGTATTAGACAATAGCGGTTGATCTTTGACTGTCCTTCATGTGGAACTTGTACAACCCTTATTGCTAACCTTTCTCTGCCTCATTATCCATTTATCACCTCTTCATTCTCAACCCCATTGCCAGTCCCTGTCCTCGAAGCCTACCATCCACACCCATGTTAAGTTAGAACCTACTCCAGTCAAGGTTACCAGACCCATCTACTACCGTCCTATTGGTGATGAACCTGTTAATGAATATGCAGGTGCACCTCTTCCTGAAAACTACTCAAATGCTGAAGCCTACGTTTCTGCCAAAGATCTCTACTCTGGTCGTCGTAATGCAGCTCTTCTCTTCCCATTCTCCTCGTTCTTCCTTCCGGTCTCTACCTATTGTTTCAGTGTTCCACCTCACTTGAGATATATATACAAGAGTTGTTACATTCTTGTAGAGCCACTAGTACGCGTAGCGTTTCGGGCAGGTCCCTGGAATACGATCCCCGCCGCGAAGAATCGTTTTTTCATCCAAGTACACATTTTACTGTTGCGTTAAACAGAGGCTACAGTTAAGAAATTGCGCCCAGTAAATCCTCCCCGGCCAGGATACGAACCCATGACATAGCGCTCGCGGAACG